AGATTTATCATCCAGTTGAACCTTCTTCTGACTGGGAGACAGATTCCATGGACTCTTTGCACTGGACGTAGGATCAGGAGCCCTAACTCTGTGCTTCCTCCCTGTAACAACCTTAAAACCATCATCCTCAGGTACTGGTTCAGAGCTACACCCTTCATCCATTACCAACACAGGCTCCTCTATCACAGACTCTGCAACAACCAAGGCTTGCACATTAGAATCAGCCCCAACTTCCAACACCTCTTCCACTTTTTCCTTATCCTTCGAATTCATTGAAACCACATCCTGTACTCTCGGCTGTTTCACCACCCAAACACGTTTGACCTTTCCTCCCATATTCTCACAGTCATGCCCAAATACATTACACTTCTCACACTTCCGCGGCACATGACAAAACTCCACATCCACCAGCATCTCAGGGCGCCCTTCTGGAGTAATACTCAGTTTGTTGATCATATTTGTCCTGGTAGTAATCTCAACACACACCTTAGCTACCCCATACTTAGTCCCCTGCTTAGTAGGAAAATCCATACAGAGGGGCCGTCCCAGAGAGTTAGCTAGACGCCCTAATCCCTCCTTTGATGTTAACTCAGATGGCAAATTCGATAGACGAACCCAGACTGGAACAGGAGAATTATCGATGGCTAGAGGTTGGATACCTGGCTCCCATTTCCTAAGCAGGACCATGTTCTCGCGGTGAGGCCATGGACCACCTTCAAATACCCAACGGCAGACTTCAGCATTAGGAAACTGAAACAGCACCAATCGATCCCCCAACCACGACACTCGCACCATCCCGTATCGCCCCCAGATCCAATTCGCCCAGAAATGAATTGAAGACAAGGAAGCCGGACGATCCATGAACTGTCCAACCAAGCTATTTACCCATCGCTTTTCACCCTCATCAATCACCGATTTAGGTATCCGAAGAGACCCATTCACAAACTCGGGCTCATAATAGTCGAGCTTAAAATCAGGACTGACAGTGAAGAGAGAAGCCCAGGTGTGACCGTCACCGGCAGCCCCTGGGGTGGCACCGCCGGTGACGGCAGCCATCAGAAACCCTAGCGAGCAGTCAAAGAAGAGAGAAGAGAGAGAAAAGAGAGAGAGAAGAGAGAGAAAAGCCAACAATTATATGAGATTTTTGTATCTACAATTTTTAAAATTTACATATTGGTCCAATGTTTAGATTTCATATAAATCTTAAGTAATGTTACTGTTACCAAAAAAGTAACATTTTGATACTGCAAATTTAATTCAATCACAAGTTAGTCACTATAATGCATATTTAACATTTTGATACCCTAAATTTAATTTAATGTAAAATCATTGAACAATTATACTTTGGTATCTAAATTTTATGAGATTTTTGTATCTACAATTTTTAAAATTTACATATTGGTCTAATGTTTCGATTTCATATAAATCTGAAGTAATGTTACTGATACATAAAAAGTAACATTTTGATACCCCAAATTTAATTCAATCACAACTTAGTCACTATAATGTATATTTAATATTTTGATACCCTAAATTTAATTTTAATGTAAAATCGTTGAACAATTATACTTTGGTATCTAAATTTTATGAGATTTTTGTATCTACAATTTTTAAAATTTACATATTGGTCTAATGTTTAGATTTCACTTTAATCCAATCCACCAATCCTTTTGAACCAATATATGAATCCAATCCGCCATAACATAAAAGTATAGATTTAGTTTGTACAACAAAATATTGTATCACTCAACTGTAGGAGAAGATTCGACCATTTCATATTTGCTCAACTGTAGGAGAAGATTCAACCATTTCATATTTGCTCATTACGTGAAACATTAAATAAACGATAAAACAAAGACGACTCTCAAATATTGCAACAACAAATTTATAAACTCATTTTGTACATTTACGGGGTACTAAACAAACTTCTACGATGAAAAGGGTTGATTGTTGTACTGACGACCAACTAAAAGAATCGGTCAAAACCTTTCCATTATCTACTTCCTCTTCGTTTCATTTTTCACTCGCCTTCCATAACCCTTTTTTAATTTCTTTGTTTGCCTTCTTCGTCTAACCCTAGTTAGTATACTATTTTTATGTATTCTAATTACAAGTATGAACGGGTTCATACACGACTCACCAACAGTTTAGTGAATTAATAATTAAACCATAAACTTTTTCAGCTCAATGTCGAGTCCAATTAAAAATAAATATATATGGTTATTACATATTAGAAAGTCATCATCTTCGAATATGGGATTTGAAGGCGTGAAAATTTTCACTCGGGCTAGAATTTTCAACAATTATACATGGAATCTTGGGCTAGGCATCTACACATATCAAATAAATAGTTTCATTTTTTTATAAAAAAAGTAAATAATCATCATTTTAAATACATCACCATAAAATGTATTAAGCCTCAACTTTGCAAATTATAGTTTGGTACCTAAACTTAATAGATATTTAGATTTATAACCTAAATTTGTTTTTTTTTTCTTACATATAAGTCTTCAAAATATTGATGGAACATTATATTTTACTACCTAAAATTTTAGTGTATTATATTTTGGTACCTAAACTTTTGAAGATCTACAAGTAGGTCTAATTTGTGTATGTTGACTTAAAACACCCTCAAATAAATGGGTATTCATACCCAACTCACACACATTTAGATTACGTAAGTAAATATCAATACCCTACCAAACCCATCTACAAACTTCAAAATCCATATATATGTCACCCATACCCTACCCATGATCAATGTGTCTACTTGGGTTTAGCTAAATATCATTTACTATCCAAAATTTTCAAAATATTTTAAATTTGATGTTAACCGCCATATATCTTTTCTCAGTCAATATTATAATTTCTAAGTCAATATTACTAATACAACTGCTAATAAAAAATTAATTTTAGACTAATAATAGTAACAAATACTATAAGGGGCCACATAATACATGCCCATATGTCAATGCCATCTCCGCCCCACGACAAGGCATGGCATCACCGCCTAGTTTATATATATAAACATAAATACCCATTATTGTTGCCTAAGAACTTGGCTAAGGTGTGGTTGTTTCTATTTTTATTTTTGTGCACTCATCATCTGGATCGCCCTTTTTTTTGCTTGGGTTAGGTGTGGTTGTTCCTATTTTAATTTTGTGCACTCACAATCTACGTTGTCCATTTTTTTTCTTCATCATTTTAATGGTAACATTATCTTAAATATGTGTACTCATATTATCTACGACATCCAGTTTGTTTGTCAAAACTGTCCTTCTCTGGCTTTTATTGCGTAAATTTTCTTGAATCGCTTCTCAAATCATAAATGTCAACAATCTTGACCTATTTTATAAGAATTCTAATGTTGTTATATTGATTTAATAATCATAGTGTATTCAACATGATGAATGTTTATCTTCATAATCAACAAAATTAGTTGATCTTCTCCCATGCACTTCCTCCTCTTCCTTGAAATCTTATGTCTAATTTATTGTTTTCATGCATTCTCCAAAGCGCTTCTCCATTTGAGAATGACAATAAGTTCGAACCCAAATAAATTTTTTTCTCTAAACTAGCATTGCTCGCCCGTCTTTGTTTTCCTGCACAATAAAATGTTTCACTCTTTGTTTCATTTACCTTTTCAAACGAACTTCTCTACTTAAGAATCATAATGGAAATCAACATGAGAGTGTTTATCTTCATAATGCCATTGCACAACCATGGATCCTAACATAAAAACTAGATGCGTCATTTTTCCTATATTTATGTGATTTGTTCTATTAATTATTTTGTCAACCCATAAATTCACCCGATTACATATAATCCAAACCTTCACACAACAAATTAACTAATAAATCTGTAGATAGTAAGATAAAACTCAACCACAAGATCGCGGCATGACGCGACATTCACTGTCTAGTATCATTTAAAGGTAGAGCCATGTAAACTTTGTAGTGGAAGCAAAACTTTATGACACATGGGTTACAAGATACACTGATGCTTTTCTTCTTTTCCATCGTTCAAGAGGCTTTGTGGTTTTAAGTCCATAAAAAAAAAGGTTGTGGTTTAGTTTAATGCTTGGATCTACGGCTATATATGTGGAGCAGTAGCCAGTATGGCATTAGGGTCCTCAATAATTCTGTCAAATATATTTTTTCTTAATTCATTTACTTGAGAGAGATCATTCTAATCATGATTAGTCGATTCTACCATGCATTAACGTAGTTTCAGTATTCACACCACATACAATTCAAATATTCTGTGTGAATACTCAAACCACATTATGTGAATATTATTACCTTTCTTCACATTTGCCACCCAAAAAATGTTCTTGTTTATTATACATTCACTTCAAGTTTCATTTCATCGTTGGTCATTGTCCGTCTATTTTCATTAAGTTCATCCTATGTGGTAGTGGACAATGGAATTGGACGGTTGGTGTTCAAAGATGAAATGAAATCTAAAACGAGTGACTAATAAAAAGGGAATTTTTATTTTTTTTAGATGATAAACGTGAAAAATTGATAATTCGGGTGATCAAAGATGTAATTTACTCAAACTTATCCTTAAAAATATGTCAAAATGGTTTTTAATAATTGAAATTGTTAGATTGAAAATAATATTTAAAAAAAGGTTTGCTCTTCAATCCCTTTCAAAAAATAATAATGCCTCCTCCTTTTTGTAAAATCCGAAAACTTATAAAAAGGGTGTTATGATGGATGTCATATGGGTTTTGGGTGACCCTAGTCAACTCGGATTTTTTTTTATCGGGTTTGGGGCGGGAAATGTATACTCCTACTCTAAATAGTAAAAACGTGTTTCAGTGTTCTTTAAGTCTTTACTTCACCTCCTAACGGCATTCATTTATTCGTCGTTTTCGTGGCCATAAATTTGGACAATACACCATATGTCGGACCTCGTATCATAGTATAATGTGAGTATGAGTTTTGGGACGAATAAACAGAGTATACAGTAAATTTATTCCTCGTCTTGAAAAGCTGTGACAAAGTATGATATGATAAATGAGTTTTTCCATTTTGGGATTGGCATTTACTGCCCACTGTCCGCTATCTTTCGGACCATAGCTAGGATAGGACGACTCATAACTCTTCATATATGATTACGCCAACAGCAACCACTACTGCACTGCACAGCACACACATCTCTACACCAAGACTACTTTCAAACTACTGCACTCTACCTCTCTCTCTCACTCTGCTGATCTGCACAAACTCTCTCCTCCGGTTTCCCTATGGCGGCCGGCTCAACTTCTCCGATCAGGTACCATGTCTTCTTCTTCTTCTTCTTCTTCTTCTTCTTCTTCTTCTTCTTCTTCTTCTTCTTCTTCTTCTCTTTCCTGTTGCATATGTTGTATCATCAAGTCCTCTCCAATATCCCTTGTCTCTGTCTGTGTATGTTGGGATCGTTGGTTTCAGGTAGATAGGACATGTGAGATTCTTGATTATGGTATAGTACTAGTGCATGTCTGTCTCCTACTTTACTGCATTAGTGATTGAGCCGTTGTTCCAGTTGTACTTTAGCTTATAATAAGTTGTGGGTTGGTTTGTTCTAATTGTTTGATTAATTACGTACCTCCATCTATATGCTAAATAATGTACTAATCAGAGTTAGGGTGCCCAGCGTAGTAGTAGCGGGCTGTAACTTTGGTGGCTTCAGTTGGGAGTAATGGGATGTAATTAATTGATCTTCTTAATTATGAGTGGAGATATCTATATATCCATTTCTTCTTCCCCTACACCCTGCCTTCCATTTGTATTTCTTTGCAAAAGCTTTATGGTAACGGGTCCAGCTCCTGTTTGGTTTGTGTGCTTACAGATAGCTAGTCGCCGGTCAGCCAAAGAAACAAATTAAAGGAAGCAAGGAATTAAAGGGACATTTAGGCTTCGTAGTTGAGGTATGTCTCATTTCCGCGGCAACAGGAATGAATCCGTAAGGGGTTTTGGGGTTGGGTTGGGGCGAGCGATTTATGGGTTAAGTTTTGTTAAATGGGCAGATTTGGATTGATAGGTGTCAATAAAAGTCTGTTTGGTGCATTGATTTGATACATATTGTTGATATCTTGAGTAAGAGTAGGTCATTTTCATTGAAAATTTCGATTAAATTCATACACATAAGTGCACCATTTACGTTGTCTCCAGTGGCGTCAAGGGTTTTCTTGGAGCAAGGGAACATACAAACTAACATGGCAGATTGGGTCATCCTGCTAATCCATGCACATTTTAATTAGTTTATTTAGTTAGTAAGGACTAAGGAGGACAAGAGCTATATATGGGGTTTACGGCCCTATTTAGCTAGCCTCTTTATAGTTTGTAATTTCTTTTCTAGTGTTTGACTGTTCACTTTTTCTTCACACTTGACATAATTTTCAGGATCGAAATATATTTGATCAGATTATATTCGGTCCAAACCAGCCTCTTCCCGTTCGTGTTGAAGTTGCTAGCTTGGTTCGTTTTATCCGCAAAACCCTTATCCTGTTACTACGAAACCACCATCATTCCACCATCCTTGCTTTTGCTGCGTGTTTGATAGTTCGAGACCCTCCTTGGGGCTCATCATATTGTACATCCACCCTCTTCTTTCTAATCCAAAAATACATGGGCATATCTTCTATGTATACACGTTTGCAATTATAATTGCTTAAAGACACCACGTTTCTCTCCAAATTCCTTTGTATTGAACACTTGACAATCTGGTCAATTTCATAACATCCTTTGCAGATTCCTTACTATACATGTTCTTCTTCATGAAACTTTTCCTTCCCTTTTGATCCTGATGTTAATCACTCTTGGAATAGCAGTGCATTTTTGTATTTCATTCTGCCGTTTCGATAAAGAAGTGGGAGAGTAAAATCAAGAATTTAGGTATTTGCATAATGTGTACCCGTATACTCTCAAATAAACATTCGGAAGAGTATAAGTACATTTTCTAATACTCGACAAATAGTCTACGAGTTTGAAGGTAATTTCCAAGCTTATTGTCATCCGTATGCATAATACATTTATTTTGAAGTATAAATATATTATTATAAATACTATTTTGTAATGGAGTGAAAAGAGAATCATCACTTAACATTTTTTATTTATTTCTTTTCAAATATTCCAATAAATTTTCTTAGGAATTTTCCTGTAATTTTTGTTTCTCGGAACATTGTTTTGTTATTTTCTTTGACAATTTGGACATGGTTTGATTGCATATTTCATTGTGGAAAATGAGATGTTTTGGTTTGTTTTTTTTTTAAGAGCATTTCCTTTTGAGACTACATGCGAGAGAAGTGAAGTGAGAGAAGTGAATTAGAAGACTCCGTTTCCGTTAGCCTTCTCCTAAGCTGTTAGTGAGAAGTAGCAGAATTTAAAAATAGGAAAAGAAAAAGAAACCAATCTCGTGTGGTCAGGTGGAGTAGTTGCAGGGACTCCCTGCAGCCTAGACTAGACTGTAGGTAAATAATACATCGTCCCTCAATTAATACGCTCTTCTCCCTCTCCCTCTCCCCGCAATAACTTCTCTTCTCAGGCTGCCCACTCCCCACCTGCTCTCCCCCCTTCTTCTCCTTCTTCCTCCATCCATCTCTTCCCCCTTTGATCTGTTCAAAATCTCTTCTTCTTGTCCCTTGACTCTCTTCTTCCTAATCCTAATCCTAGTCCGTGCCGTAATGATAATAGAGGGAAAAAGAAGCCATCTCTCTCCTTTTCTTTCTCAGACTTGTAATGTAATGACATCCACCTTTGTTGTTTTCCACAGCACAGAATCTAGTCGGTCAGCCAAAAAAAAAAGAACAAAGGAAGTACGAAACTAATGGGGCATTTCGGCTTTGTATTTGAGGTATGTGTTTTCCCAACCTTTTCATTCACGCGGCAAGACAAATGCTTCAAATAATCTTTTTTTTTTTTTTTCCTTCTTTCTAAGTTGGTTTCACGGTGTACGTGAAGTATGAATAGGGTTAATTAATGCCGTAATTGGTCACTAAATTGTAGTTGCTATAACAAAATCCCAGTGAAGTTAAAAATGCATCACTTGTATTTCTCAATTCAAATCAATTTGTCATTACTCTCGATGATCTCAACTATTAGAATTTTATTAAATATGAATAGTCGGCACGCATATTCCTTGGTGGGTCAATCGAATCGGTAAAGGGATTTTGCTGGTTGTGATGAATTTATGGGTACGATTGAGTTTGTTCCATTGTGATATAGCTACTTTATTTCATTAATTAGTGATTGGACCCTTGTTCCAGTTATACTTTAGCTTATAGACAGTTGGTTAGTTTGTTCTGTTCTTCTACGTGCCTACTTAATTGTTTGATTAATTATCTCCTTCTATTAATGTACTAACTAACTAGAGCTAGGGTGCCCAGCGTAGTAGTGGGCTGGGACATTTGGTGGCCTTTCCCCAACTTTTGGATGGGACATTTGCTGGCTTCAGTCAGGACTCAGGAGTAGTGGGCTGTAATTAATTTTCTCACAAGAAGATATATAGTTGGGTTGGGTGAATAGAAGAGGAATAAACATTATAATTAACCTAATAGGGTTCACCAGCCAAATGATTAATTATCTCCATCTATTAATGTACTAAACATTATAATTAACCTAATAGGTTCACCACCCGCTTATAACAATCCACCAGCCAAATGATCACGACCAAAGTTAGATAGTACTAACTAGAAATGGACCGATCTAATCAAACCGGTTTGACTTGGTAACTAACAGTTAGTTACGTTGGTGTGTGATCTATGCAGGTACAGTTGATCATCAAGTGAAGTAGCTAGCATTCCTATCTTATAATATAATAATAGCCCTTTTCCCCACTAGGCCCTAGCTACTCCACTTCCTTAATTAGTTGCCCACATAATTAATTTCCTTAGATCATCCCTCACTAAAAAAATATGGCCAATTCTCCATCTCCACGTCGTATTGCTCCCCTAGGCTATTCATTCCTACTGCTTCTTGTTACTATTAACCTAATCGGTTCAATCCCTATCTTCGTAGCTTTCTTTTTCCTGAAAATCCACCCGGGTGTGAAACAAGCTACAGAATTCATGCTATGTTTCACCTATTACACCTTTTCCCTTGTCTTTACTCTCCTCTTCGGCATTCTAGCTGCTTCATCCTTCCGTCGTAGGAGGCTCATAAACACCTACATGCGCCTCATGTCCGCTCTGTTTTTGGCCGCCATCGCCTTCCTGGTCTTCCTGAATGCTGTTACCACTGATGCTCCTCCACGTTATGATGATGATCATCAGGACGCGAGGGCCTTCTCCGGATGGCTTAGAGAGAAAGTCGAGGACGCCGCGTTCTGGAACAAGGTGAAGGGCGGCCTCGTTGAATCCGCACTCTGCAAGGACTCCCATACCGGCGGAAGCAAAGGGGCAAAGAAGCGTGATCGAATATATGGGAGTTGCTGCATCAATTGCAATCACCTCAGCCCGAGCAACGTTTGCCCCAGTTGGAACCGAGATCCGGAGAAGTTGTGTTACGGCTACGAGCTCTGCAAAGCTGCCGTGTTGTCCCAGTTGAATACCAAACTGTCAACAGCTAAGCAAATGATTACCATGACTATGTGTTGAGAAACCGGGCAGCAACCACAAGCAAGAATAGAATGCACAAGACACACGATTTTTACGTGGAAAACCCAAATCGGGAAAAACCACGGGACCTTTGTCCAAGCCACAACTCCACTAGACTTTGGTGGGATTACAAGTCCTCTCTAGACTAGCTAGAGGATTACAAACACATCAAGGACACTCTTCTTGGATCAACAATCAGCCACAATAGCTCTCACCAACATGGTGGATAACAAAAACAAGAGCAAGACAAAGAAAGGTTGAGAGGTACCCAAAAAACAGATTCTTACACCTTCTGTCCAGCAGCTATTCCCGATGAACTAGGCCTCAGAATGACATCCCACCGGTCAGAATGAAGCCCAGACACTTCGAACCCACTGCCCAAATTTCAGGACGATCCAACGGTTCAATCTTCCAGAACGCTCACTTGAACAGGCTGCCTTGCTGCAGAAACGAAAAACAGCAGCTTTTTCTCTTTTCACTCTTTTTCCTTATCTCTTCTCTTTTCTGATTCTCTCTCTAAAAAATGAAAGGTTGTCACCTCTTTTTACTTTTGAGTAGACAATAACTCTCTATTTTGAAAATAGAGGATCTTCTAGAAACCAACCAAAACTCAAACTCAAACCAGTTAATCCAACCACCATATGAGTTGGACCAACCCAAAAAAATGTGAGGACTTGTAATCCCACCAAAGTCTAGTGGAGTTGTGGCTTGGACAAAGGTCCCGTGGTTTTTCCCGATTTGGGTTTTCCACGTAAAAATCGTGTGTCTTGTGCATTCTACTCTTGCTTGTGGTTGCTGCCCGGTTTCTCAACACATAGTCAGGGTAATCATTTGCTTAGCTGTTAACAGTTTGGTATTCATCTGGGACAACACGACAGCTTTGCAGAGCTCGCAGTCGTAACACAACTTCTCTAGATCTCGGTTCCAACTAGGGCAAACGTTGCTCGGGCTGAGGTGATTGCAATTGATGCAACAGCTCCCATATATTCGATCACGCTTCTTTGCCCCTTTGCTTCTGCTGGTATGGGAGTCCTTGCAGAGTGCGGATTCAACGAGGCCGCCCTTCACCTTGTTCCAGAACGCGGCGTCCACAACTTTCTCTCTAAGCCATCCGGAGAAGGCCCTCGCGTCCTGATCATCATCATCATAACGTGGAGGAGCATCGGTGGTAACAGCATTCAGGAAGACCAGGAAGGCGATGGCGGCCAAAAACAGAGCGAACATGAGGCGCATGTAGGTGTTTATGAGCCTCCTATGACGGAAGGATGAAGCAGCTAGAATGCCGAGGAGGAGAGTGAAGACAAGGGAAAAGGTGTAACAGCTGAAACACAGCATGAATTATGTAGCTTGTTTCACACCCGTGTGGATTTTCAGGAAAAAGAAAGCTACGAAGATAGGGATTGAACCAATTAGGTTAATAGTAGCAAGAAGCAATAGGAATGAATAGCCTAGGGGAGCAATACGACGTGGAGATGGAGAATTGGCCTTTTTTTTAGAGAGAGGGATGATCTAAGGAAATTAATTATGTGGGCAACTAATTAAGGAAGTGGAGTAGCTAGGGCCTAGTGGGGGAAAAGGGCTATTATTATATTATAAGATAGGAATGCTAGCTACTTCACTTGATGATCAACAGTACCTGCATAGATCACACACCAACGTAACTAACTGTTAGTTACCAAGTCAAACCGGTTTGATTAGATCGGTCCATTTCTAGTTAGTACTATCTAACTTTGGTCGTGATCATTTGGCTGGTGGATTGTTATAAGCGGGTGGTGAACCTATTAGGTTAATTATAATGTTTAGTACATTAATAGATGGAGATAATTAATCATTTGGCTGGTGAACCCTATTAGGTTAATTATAATGTTTATTCCTCTTCTATTCACCCAACCCAACTATATATCTTCTTGTGAGAAAATTAATTACAGCCCACTACTCCTGAGTCCTGACTGAAGCCAGCAAATGTCCCATCCAAAAGTTGGGGAAAGGCCACCAAATGTCCCAGCCCACTACTACGCTGGGCACCCTAGCTCTAGTTAGTTAGTACATTAATAGAAGGAGATAATTAATCAAACAATTAAGTAGGCACGTAGAAGAACATAACAGAACAGAACAAACTAACCAACTGCCTATAAGCTAAAGTATAATTGGAACAAGGGTCCAATCACTAATTAATTAAATAAAGTAGCTAAATCACAATTGGAACAAACTCAATCATACCCATAAATTCATCACAACCAGCAAAACCCCTTTACCGATTCGATTGACCCATCAAGAAATATGTATGTCGGACTATTCATATTTAATAAAATTCTAATAGTTGAGATCATCGAGAGTAATGACAAATTGATTTAAATTGAGAAATGCAAGTGATGGCATTTTTAACTTCACTGGGATTTTGTTATAGCAACTACAATTTAGTGACCAATTACGACATTAATTAACCCTATTCATACCGTACACCGTGAAACCAACTTAGAAAGAAGAAGAAAAAAAAACAGATTATTTGAAGCATTCCTCTTGCCGCGTGAATGAAACAGGAACCTATAAGGTTGGGAAAACACATACCTCAACTCAAACCTAGCCAACATCGGATTCAACTTGCTTTGACAGCGTCGGATTAGGTTGCATACCCATAAGTTTGATTAAAAAAGAAAATCACAAAAGAAAATAAAAAATCTGGATAGTTATGATACAAGAAATGAATGAGTTGTGATATGCACTATTTGTTAATATCACATTGGTCACGTCCTTGAGGCAGGGGTGTTTGCCTGTCAGAAAACTAATCAATGCTTCGTCAAAGTTAAAGCCTTGATTGACTTCTCTAAACCGTTGCGATCACAACTCATGGCGGCTAGTGATGAGACAGGTCGCTTCTGGATTGAGTTGAAGTATGAGCATCTTCCGATATTTTGCTTCCGATGTGGCCTAGTTGCCCATATGATGAGCGATTGTGCTTTTGATCCTCCTGCTCGGAAGGAAAAATTTGGCTCCCATATGTCCACCAAGAATTTGGGAACTAGAATTTATGATGAGGATGATGTAGCTTCGTCTTATCGTGGCGGATCCAACACAGTCTGGGTGAATAAAGACCTGCGTGAGAATAGAGAGGCGAGAGACCACAACGGAAGGTCGGTTGACCATGATAGAAACAGCCTGGCCAGGCCTACTGAGTCCTCGCAAGCTGGGATGCAAACTCGCCAGCAGGAGGCGCTGTTGCCTCGTGCGAGACCGATGGATGGGAATCTCAAGAAGGGCAAAAGCCCAAGAGGGTTTGCTCTGAAGAAATCACCAAAGATTTTTGGCAAGAGGAGATCCCTGCGCTCGCCTCTAGCTAAAGAACATGACCGCGAGGAGAATCCCCAAGTGGCGGCGATGCGTGCAGCTCCGAAGGCTAGGCAGGAGCACGGGCGAACCTGGGTCAAGGGTCTGAGATTTTCGGACCGTCAAGCTATCACGGCTGGGGAGGCCGAGCGTCCGACCAAGAAACTAATTCGACTTCGGGAGAAGGAGGCGAGTGGTTTGCCTCGAGTTGAGACAATGGGGGAAAAACACTCATTTCAAGTTGCATCGAGAACCATAGTGATGGGGAGAATGCTAGTCTGGTCCGCGAGACTGAGGTCACTCGGCGAAGGCGTTTGATTTTGGAGGAGGATTCAGATGATGATTTCCAATTCCCTGCGAAGCCCGTCCCGGCCAGTCTTGATTCTGTTGCGGCGGACCAAGTGATGCAGCCAGAGCCCGTGCCATTGAAGGCGGCTGGATCTGGACTGGGAAGGAAAAGGAAGGAGGTGATGGCGGAGGATTCGCCTCATGTGAAGCGGCGCCAGCCTCCCAAGCTGAAGCCGAAGCCAGAGACTTCTGGGAAGAAAGGCCGATCCAGGGCAAATCGGCAGCCACTGTCGGCGGTGGGAGGTGAGGAGATGTGAAAAATGGGCCGGGGGGTCCTTGTTGCACTGAAGTCTGTGGGGCTATCCCCCCAGGGAAATAAGGCTCCATCGCCTAGACCCAAGAATGAGGCCCAACACGTGGACCAAATGGTTTTGAGCCCGGAATCACCTCTGTCAGGGGATGAACCTCACTGCTTTGAGGTTAAGAGGCGCGTCCAAAATAAGATACAGGCTGATGTATCTGCAAGTGCTTACGGGCGGGTGGGGCAGGTTGTGGCGGCTTTTGAAGCCGGTTTGCTTCTTAACAACCCTGGTGGCCAGGATACCATGCGCCCTTCTGATTCACCTGAAGCGTCGGAGCGAGCCATGATTTGGAAACTCAATGAATATGGGTGCAACTTTTCGGATCCTGAGAAAGGTGGAAATAAGCGTGATTTTGAGGAAATGGGTGGAGATGGGCAAGAGCCTCCCACGCCTAAAAAATAATTTGTTGAAGAGAAATTGAATGAAGAAAAGGTGGAGGAAGCCAGCCTCGAGTGGCCCCAGTCGGATAAATGAGACTGCTAGCCTGGAATGTGAGGGGAATTGGACCATCCCTCACATTCCAAACCGCTGTTGGTCTGCTGCATTCTAATAAACCGGACCTTGTCTTCTTTTCGGAAACAAGATCGTGTCGGAGAGTAGTAGCCCGCCGTATGCGGGGTTTAGGTTTCAATTTATCCCACTGTTATTTTGTTGATGCCATTGATACTGTTGGTGGCTTAGTTGTAGCTTGGTCTCCAGAGGTTGATGCCTCGGTGTTTTTCCATTCGGATTTTTCCATTTGAGCTGTCATGAAATAATCCAAAGTTGGATGGATAGATTCCCTGAAACTCTTGTGAAGCATTTTACGGACCAGGGGTCTGATCACAGAGTGATAGTTCTTTCTGATAAACTTTACGCCAGAAATAGCCGCCCTCGTTTTCGTTTTGATGCTCGCTGGGCTGAGAATCCAGAGGTCAAAGCTATGGTGGCTTATGTTTGGCAAGAGGAAATACAGGGATCCCCCATGTTCCAACTTTGGGAGAGACTTAAAAAACTTCGTCATTTATTATATGACTGGAGTAGGGCAGGCACTACCAACTCCCTCCGCAATATAAAAACCCTTCAGGCTGAAATTGAGCGGGTGAGACGGATTGCTCCAATTAATTGGGATTTGGTGAGGGAGCTGGAGATGGAGCTAAATCGTCAGTGGGAGGCGGAAGAGATCTATTGGCAGCAAAAGTCGAGGGTCCATTGGCTCAAAAAAGGGGATACAAACACATCTTACTTTCACACAGTCACTCGCGCTCGACGTAAACGCAATTTTGTTGCGGGTCTCCATAATGAGGAAGGTGAATGGATCACAGAGGAACGTGGAAAGGCTGACATAGCCAACAATTTCTACCAACACCTTTTTACGTCTAAATCCCAGGTTGGGAATATGGAGGCCAGGATTGCCGAATTGCCTATTGATCGTAGGGTGACCGAGGATATGAATGCGGCCCTTACTGCTTCGGTCCTTCCTGAGGAAATTCGGAAAACTGTTTTTTCCATGGGCTCGAAGCAGGCCCCAGGATCGGATGGTTTCACGGGGAAGTTTTTCAAGGCTTTTTGGTCCTTGGTGGGAGATTCGGTGGTTAATGCTGTCAGGTCTTTCTTTGACACAAGTAGGCTGCTTCGCAGCTTTAATCACACTTGGCTCACCCTAATACCCAAGGTGGATAATGTGGAGAATATGCGGCAACTCAGGCCAATTAGTAAGAATGTCCTCCTGTCTGACCAGGAATTCCTTGCTGAAATTTTGGGGGTTGGGGCGGTCGGGGTGCATGACAAATATTTAGGGTTGCCCACGTTGATTGCTTAGTCAAAAGTGGCTACGTTTCGCTTCTTAGAGGAGAAGTTGTTGAGTAGGCTGTAGGGATGGAAGCAAAGGACCCTTTCTTGGGCAGCCAAAGAAACGCTGATTAAATCAGTCGCGTTGGCTCTTCCTCTGCATGTGATGTCCTATTTTAAGCTCCCTCTGGCTTTGTGTCGGCTCCTGGATAGCCATGTGGCCAAGTTCTGGTGGGGTATGGAAGGTGGGCGATCCCGGATTAGTTGGATGTCCTGGCGCAACATGTGTACCAGTAAGCATGATGGTGGTATGGGTTTTCATAGATTTGAACATTTCAATCAGGCCCTTCTGGCTAAGATTGGGTGGCAAATCCTGTCGGAGCCTGACTCGCTGCTGGCCAAAGTCTACAAAGGTAAATATTTTCCGCGGGGGGGATTTCCTCTCTGTTACAGCCAGATCTCACCCATCTTGGGGATGGCAGAGTATCTTGCATGGTCGTCAGTTGCTCCTCCAAGGTCTCCGTTGGCAGATTGGCGATGGTACAACGACTCCGTTGTTATCATCGAATTGGGTCCCTAGAATTCACCCGGATGGGCTGGTTTATAACCCTCGTGTCCTTCCGGACGAGGCAGAACCTAAAGTGGACGCGGTGATTATCCAGGGGGCAGGGAGATGGTGTGATGAAAGTCTTAGCCAGTGGTTTCCTCCTGTTATCTGCCAAGCTATTAAGGCTATTCCCCTCCCTCGTGATACTGTTGCTGATAAACTTATTTGGCATGAATCCAGGGATGGCCTCTTTTCGTTGAAGACGGCTTATCATCTTGCAGTCCGGTTGGATAAGCAAGGGGGCAGATGGAGATCAATGGCCAGTTGGATGGATTGGCCGAGCTGGATCCGTTTGTGGAATGCTGATTTGCCTCCCAAGCTTAAAATATTTTTATGGCAGCTTTTTCATCGGCTCCTCCCTACCACGGAAGCCCTCATCGAGAAGAAGGTTCAGGTGCTGCCTCGATGCCCGGTGTGTTGGGCTGAGAAAGAAACTTTGGAGCATCTGTTCCTCGATTGCCCAGTTGCTCGGTCTCTTTGGGAGCATTCTGGTTTAGAAGATCTTGGGGAGGGCTTACCGCGGCATACCTTTCCGCTCTTCCTCAAAAAGTTGATGGTTTTGATTCATCAGCCTCAGATGGTCATGGCGGTGGTGGCAGTCCTTTGGCGTATTTGGCGCTCCCGCAACTGGGTTGTCTTTGAAGGCAAGCAATATGGGATCCCCGCCTTGATGAGGCAATTAAATCAGCAATACCTGGAATGGGTTAATTTACCAAAAGACCGTGTTATGCCCACGCTTACCCCGCGCATGGTGGGGGGTGGGACGGAGAGTGCTCCGAGTTTACTCACGTGTATGTGGGATGGAGCGACGCGGGGGGGTTCTCACTCGGCCGGGGGTATGGTTCTCTTTGATTCTGAGGGGCGGATCCTTCATGCCCGAGGGGTACATTTCCCTGATATTGATGATCCCATGACGGCAGAGTTGCTTACTTTGCGAGAGGGCTTGCGGTGGTGCCTAGAGTTGGGGTTTACAGAGGCAAATTTTCAGGGGGACGCGCGTGTGGTCATCGACAAGGTTAATAACCGGGATTCCTGTGACAACCAGGTCGGCGCCGTTCTCGAGGAGGTCATCCAATTTCTGGCAGTGCATTCTTCGCTTAATGTTCGTTTTGTAGGTCGGCGTAGCAATAGGGTAACCCATTTGGTGGCTAGAAAGGCCCTCTCTTTGTACCCGACTACATGTCGATCCTTTGATTTTCTGGCCTGGTTGAATTCCAGGATATAATGATTTTTTTTCAACCAATATGATTATCTTTTGTCAAAATAATAATAATAATAATAATTCATATCCAGTTTTGATTTAGAGGTGAACGGACCAAATTTTTATTAAAATCCACACCCGACTCAACCCTTCAATTATAAAACCGGTTAAACTTTCTTGGAATTCAAAACTCTCCAACATCAGGTTCATCTCGCATTAGACCATGTTGGATGGTTGGATACCCACAAATTTGAGTTATCTCTTGTGGCTTACACTAAAAATGCATCCTTTCTCAAAACAAGCCTTTTTTTTCTCTTAAACCTGTCCCAAAGCAAAAAACATGACCCAAAGTCTAAAATTCACAGTTGTGTACTTAACTTAGGGGAGGGATTCGATAATCCGGTAAACGGTTTACTGTTTTACCGAACCGGTAACCGGCGGTAAACGGTAAACCGTTTACCGGCGGCATCAGCGGCCGAGAGAAAATATGGGTGTGTCGGTATACCGAATCCGATATCGGTAAATACCGACGGTAAGTTTAATACCGATACCGAACCCCAATGGCCAATGCTATGCGTTTTGCCCCCAATCCCTATCCCTACTTTCTAAAAAAACTGCCTAGCGGGACCCAGCCGCCATCCCCTCTTTTCTTCTTCATTTTGGAATCGCAGAGACCAGAGAGCCCCGCGCCTCTTCTCGTCTTCTTCATCGGACGCCTCTCAAGATTGCTGACAGACGACCAGCCGCAGCACGACGACGGCGAGTCGCGACGGCGCCGAGCTTCCAGAGACGAGCTTCCCTTGGCCCTGAGGTGACGGCGTCGAGCTTCCCCTGGCCGACGCGTGAGTCGTGACCAGCTCTTCCCTGCCGCCGCCAAGCCGCCACTACTTGCCTCCTAGCCTCCTCGCCGTCCTGCCATCCTCGCCTCGACGCCTCCTGCCATCCTTGGAGGTAAGATTGAATGATTGGTTAGTGGGTGATGAAATCATGAAATTATAATGCAGAAGCCAAAACCCCAAGTGATAGTAGTGGACTTCTTGCTGTTCAAGTTGCAGTGACAGAGTAATGTGTAGCTATAGGTGCACATAATTAACTACATATATACACTGATTTTCACAATCCTTATCCTCTGTGAATAGTTAGTGAATAAACAAAGGTATGGCATTCCACTTTCAGAGCTATGATGGAGTGGGAAGATCATCATATCTCCCAACAGATCTTGGAGGAGTAAGCAAGTGGGTGCTATAGATGCTAGATGGCCAAGCAACAACCTTAACATAATCAAAAAGAATATACCAGAATCATTCAAGTACTCAAGATTTTGCTTTACATGCCACTGTGAATAGTTGAAAAGCACCCCCTGGATCTCTTGGTTTCAAGCGGCTGATACATGCCCTTTGCGGTAATTCGGTAAACCGGTTTGTAACCGTTTACCGGTAATTCGGTAATCGGTAAACCGGTTACAAACCGGTATCGGTAAACGGTAAACAGTTTGGCCACCCTCGGTATACCAAAACCGGTCCGTTTACCGACCGATTCCCACCCCTACTCTTAACCATCATAATGCCACATCACCAAATCACTGTCTGCATGGACCAAAAAAAAAAAAATAGTGACACTGTTGCGACACCATAATATTGGTCATATTTTACAGGTGGCGTTGTGAGAATTATGTGGGCCTTTGGTCCAAGTAAAGTCCAATGTTGGCCTCGTGTCGTCCTCTCGGCTCAAGGATATCCTCTTGGATGGCTAGCCCACCAGTTACAGCAAACACAGATCAGATGGAAGCCCACAAGAAAGCCCGGACCCATTTTGTGTCCCTGTTAAAGCAACGTAAAAGCAAAAGGGGGAACTTGTAACTGTTTAGCTGGTTTACTTAGGAGTTAGGACCGCGTTACTTACCGCCTTGTCCGTCGGTGGAGCTGCCGACAAATCCAGACAAAGAGACAAACGAAACCGGCAACCGATACAGCCGGTGAAGTTCCCCAACGGCTCCGATAATGATAACTTAACAAATCTCAAATCCCAATTGCACCCTAATGAACCACCCCACAGATTTTTCCTCAATTAATTAAAGAAGACAACACTAATCAAATACACTCATTTCGGCGATTTCCTTTTTCTTTCTTTTATTTCTTACAAGCAACATCAATCAATCATTATAGTAAAAAATTTAAAATAAAAATAACAAATTAAAAAAGACAGTCAGTTCGAAGTAATCGACAGTACATCTACTGGATCGCCAGCTGTATGTAGAGAGAGATGAGCAGAGAAGCGTAAATAAAAAGAGATAACAGGGAGAGAGCGAGAGACAGAGAGAGCAGGAAATGGCGTGCTGAGGGGGCGACAAGCACCACAACTCAACTGTGAGGTTCCCACTGGAAAGCTAGAGAGAGAGAGAGATCATGGAAGCGAGTGCCGGTATGGTTGCCGGATCCTACCGCCGGAACGAGCTGGTTAGGATTCGCCACGATTCCGACAGCGGGGTAATTCATCTCCCTTCTTCTTCTTCTTCTTCTTCTTCTTCTTCTTCTTCTTCTTCTTCTTCTTCTTCACTCTTTCCGTTGGTTCTGGGGATTTCTATGTTAGCATTTCTCCAGTGTGGGTATTATTGGGCTGTCGGTGGCGATTGGTTTACTGGGTATTTGATTAGTGGTGGATTTAGTAGTCGCTTGTCAGATCTTGACGTGATTAGCGTTTATTTAGAGATTTGCTGATAGGGGCAGCTGGTTTGCTTACGAAATGGACTGCTGGGGGATTAATCGATTAGATCTGTCTTCTAGATTTGATGACTGAAAAGGTTGAAGCTTTCGCCTTTAAGTGTGATTTCAGTGATATTGTCCTCAATTTCGGATATTTGTCCTAGATTTTGGTTCTTCTCTCTGATCTTTTGCTTTAGTTACTAAACTTGCCCCACAGTGTCCTGTCAGATTACGATTCGAACAACTATCTAGATGTTTCTTGGTTGGTGTCTGAGATTCTTCTATGCGAGATTCTTGAATCCGATTGTTGAACAAGTTCAGATGTATACGTCTTGTCATTGCAATCTAGATCACTAGCATTAGGATGTGATTTGGTAATCAAAAAGTGGTAACGGATTGCTTTGGATAATTTTTGTAGCCCAAACCATTGAAGAATCTGAATGGGCAGACCTGCCAGATCTGCGGCGATAGTGTTGGACTTACTGCTAGTGGTGATGTCTTTGTTGCCTGCAATGAGTGTGCCTTCCCTGTTTGCCGTCCTTGCTATGAGTATGAGAGGAAGGATGGCACCCAGTCTTGCCCTCAATGCAAGACTAGGTACAAGAGGCACAAAGGTTAGTTTTTCCCCCAGATGCTAGTAGATGCATTCATTGATGCCTTGTTAAGAATTCTGGGTGCTGATTGATTTTTGATTTACTAATTCAGGGTGCCCTCGGGTTGATGGAGATGAAGATGAAGACGATGTTGATGATCTTGAAGATGAGTTCAGTTATCAAGGCATGGGCAAAGCACGTCGCCACTGGCAGGGTGATGATGTGGAACTGTCTTCATCATCCAGACATGAAAGTCAAATGCCAATTCCCCTTCTGACTAATGGGCCACAGGTGGTTAGAGATTACACAAGTGAAATTACCTTTGATGAGAAGTAGTTTCTCCTTTGATTCCTTTCTCATGGCTTGTTACTATGTTTATGTTACACCTTTAGGTTTCTGGTGAAATTCCTACCCCTGACACGCAGTCTGTGCGAACTACGTCAGGGCCTTTGGGCCCTACGGAGAAGAATGTACAATCTTCTCCTTATATCGATCCAAGGCAACCAGGTAATTAAGCAATCTGAATGTGATATTTCTTATACTTATATGTTTGTTTCCATAATTTCTAACTTTATAAACATGATGTGTTGGTACAGTTCCTGTTAGAATTGTGGATCCTTCAAAGGACTTGAATTCTTATGGCCTTGGGAATGTGGACTGGAAGGAAAGGGTGGAAGGTTGGAAACTCAAACAGGAGAAGAACATGGTGCATATGAGTAACAGACATAGTGAAGGAAAAGGTGATATTGAAGGCACTGGTTCTAATGGGGAAGAGCTCCAAATGTAAGTTCCTTGCTTTGTAGAAGTTGGATGCTTTAATTCTCTCGGTACGATTTCTCATTTCTCTTTTTGTTTCCATTTCTTTCTTGTTAAACAGGGCTGATGATGCTCGACAGCCTCTTAGCCGGGTGGTTCCTATTCCTTCTTCTCACTTGACCCCATATCGTGTTGTAATCATTCTCCGGCTGATCATTTTGGGTTTCTTCTTGCAATACCGTGTCACTCACCCCGTGAAGGATGCTTACCCATTGTGGCTTATCTCTGTCATTTGTGAGATCTGGTTTGCTTTGTCTTGGATTCTGGATCAGTTTCCCAAATGGTATCCCATCAATCGTGAGACCTACCTTGACAGGCTTGCTTTGAGGTTAGTAGTTTAGTACTGAATCGCAGACCGATATTTTAAGTTTGCGAAAGGCCTGTTCAAAGAATGTGTGCTTTGTATTTACAGGTATGATCGGGAAGGGGAGCCATCTCAACTAGCACCTGTTGATGTGTTTGTGAGTACTGTGGACCCAATGAAAGAACCTCCACTGATTACTGCAAACACTGTCTTGTCAATTCTCTCTGTGGATTACCCGGTAGACAAAGTATCATGCTATGTCTCTGACGATGGTTCAGCAATGTTGACATTTGAATCCCTCTCCGAGACTGCTGAATTCGCTAGGAAGTGGGTGCCATTCTGCAAGAAGCATAATATCGAGCCTAGAGCTCCTGAGTTTTACTTTGCCCAAAAGATTGATTACTTGAAGGACAAGATTCAACCTTCATTTGTCAAAGAGAGACGAGCAATGAAGGTGTGCTTCTCTGAAATATTCCGTTGTAACTTGTGAATGGTTTCATCATTTGCATTGATATTGAGAGGACACATCTACTATGTGCAGAGAGAATATGAAGAATTCAAGGTGCGAATCAATGCACTGGTTGCTAAAGCACAAAAGATGCCTGAAGAAGGCTGGACTATGCAAGATGGAACCCCATGGCCTGGAAATAATCCTAGGGATCATCCTGGAATGATCCAGGTACTATATTGTTCTTCTCTACTCTCGCTGATTCTAACCTTTCTTGTCATCTTTCTCAGCCAAAATTGACAAATTCCCCCCTTTGGTGAAAAAATAGGTCTTTTTAGGACACAGTGGTGGACTTGATACAGATGGAAATGAACTACCTCGTCTTGTCTATGTTTCTCGTGAAAAGAGACCTGGTTTCCAACATCACAAGAAAGCTGGAGCTATGAACGCACTGATTCGAGTTTCAGCTGTACTGACCAATGGTGCCTATCTACTGAATGTTGATTGTGATCACTACTTCAACAACAGCAAAGCTCTGAAAGAAGCCATGTGTTTCATGATGGACCCTGCCTATGGAAAGAAGACATGCTATGTGCAGTTCCCCCAGAGGTTCGATGGCATTGATTTGCACGATCGATATGCTAATCGCAATATCGTCTTCTTCGACGTAAGTCTCTGCATGATCAATATCTATTAGCAAACATCTTCTCTTGGATTTTGGTTCAACTGTCATATAAGACTTGTGCTTTATGCTGTCATCCGAACTTTTCAGATCAACTTGAAGGGGCTGGACGGTATCCAGGGCCCAGTTTATGTGGGAACTGGTTGTTGTTTCAACAGACAAGCACTTTACGGTTATGATCCTGTTCTTACCGAGGAGGATTTAGAACCCAACATTGTTGTCAAGAGCTGCTGTGGATCAAGGAAGAAGAGCAAGAGTGGCAACAAGAAATATTATGATAAGAAGAAAGGAATAAAGAGAACCGACTCTTCTGTCCCAATGTTCAATCCAGAAGATATTGAGGATGGCGTGGAAGGTTGGTTTCCTAGGAATTTTTACCTCTATTCTTCCATCTCTTGCAAGGAACTCAGTACTCCTTTTTTTACTGTCCAGCTCAAGGCTACAGACCTATTGCCCTAATTTCCTTTTTTATATCAGATCATCTTTTTGTTTGACATGTTAATATATTCATAGTCCTCGTGCTTTAAAGGAAGGTGTGCATCTCTCATCTTAACTGTGTTGCTGCTTTTCTCTAGGCTATGATGACGAGAGGTCTCTCCTAATGTCTCAGAGGAGTCTTGAAAAGCGTTTTGGTCAGTCACCAGTTTTCATTTCTGCAACATTCATGGAGCAAGGAGGCATTCCACCCTCAACGAATCCTGCTACCCTTCTCAAGGAAGCTATCCATGTCATTAGTTGTGGTTATGAAGACAAGACCGAGTGGGGCAAAGAGGTTGGTATCTGGTATCATCTTAACACTATCTAGTCAGTTTGTACAGTGTTGACTGAATCATTTTCGTCTGCTGATACAGATTGGATGGATCTATGGTTCGGTTACTGAAGATATTTTAACTGGGTTCAAGATGCATGCCCGTGGTTGGATTTCTGTCTATTGCATGCCTCCACGCCCAGCATTCAAAGGGTCTGCGCCTATTAATCTGTCTGATCGACTGAACCAGGTTCTTCGATGGGCCTTGGGTTCGATTGAGATCTTGTTGAGCAGGCATTGCCCCATATGGTATGGCTACAATGGGAAACTAAGACTTTTGGAGAGGCTGGCCTACATTAACACCATTGTCTATCCCATAACATCTCTTCCACTGCTCGCCTACTGTGTTCTTCCTGCCTTCTGTCTCCTCACTAACAAATTCATAATTCCCGAGGTTCGTAGCATTCTCTCCTTAATTTCACGTAGAAATGAAAAGCATATTAGAACCAGAATTGTAAGATTTTACGGATCATGCAAAATAAAATTTACACTTTTTCATTTACCATTCAATCTCCTATACCTATAAAATTTCGTGAGCTCAAAAGAATTTGAAATTCGTCGTATACATCTCTTTTGAGTCATGGATTACACCGTTCTTATTCCTACTTTGCTCTATTTCCAGATAAGCAACTTTGCCAGTATGTGGTTCATCCTTCTCTTTTGCTCCATTATCGCCACTGGAATCCTCGAACTCCGATGGAGTGGAGTTGGTCTTGAGGACTGGTGGAGGAATGAGCAGTTCTGGGTCATCGGTGGCACATCAGCTCATCTCTTTGCCGTCTTCCAAGGTCTCCTTAAGGTCCTTGCTGGGATCGATACCAACTTCACAGTCACATCGAAAGCTAATGATGAAGACGGCGACTTTGCTGAGCTCTACATCTTCAAATGGACGGCTCTCCTCATCCCGCCAACCACGGTCCTCATAGTAAACCTGGTGGGCATCGTTGCTGGTGTCTCCTTCGCCATTAACAGTGGCTATCAATCATGGGGCCCACTGTTTGGAAAGTTGTTCTTCGCCTTGTGGGTCGTTGCCCATTTGTATCCCTTCCTCAAGGGTCTTTTAGGTCGCCAGAATCGTACTCCGACAATTGTCATCGTCTGGTCCATTCTGCTCGCCTCCATCTTCTCGTTGCTGTGGGTGCGTATCGATCCCTTCACCTCGGACTCCACGAAATCTGCTTCTAATGGTCAGTGTGGTATCAACTGCTAGGATACTTTTGTTTCCATATATAAGATCCTTCGTGTACATAACAATGACGATTCGAGGAGTTGAAGAGATGGTGTGCTGTTTATGTAAAACTTGCTCATGACCCAGACAAAGGAAGGGAAGGATAGATGCCTCATGTCGTTTTTTGTGGGAGTTTTGTGATGCTATATGCTGGAAGGACATAGCCAACTGTAACTGTGATTTATTTGTGTACACTACGAGGAAGGAACCTGTCTTTTTGTTATAATGTTATTCTTTGGTAATATTATCCTTTTTATATGTAAACAGAATTTTTATATTGGAATCGTTCGATCCTTTGACCATTAGGAAAGATGGTCTTGGCTGTTGAAACGTTACTCAATAGTTTGCTAGGATTGTACTGCATAATGCAGATGGTGAAGTGAATGTTTCAGCTTTGTCAATGTTCGTATTCATGCCTGGCATACATTTTGATGTCTTTAACTAGTAGCAGCCACAGCCCACAATAACAAATTTGACATTAGATCGAATCAGAGAGCAGATATATTAAATTTGATGATCAAAATCAATCGTTGGATCAAATGCTATTCGATTCAATTTTAATATTAAAATTCAAGATGACAGGATGTCATATGGCTACGATCCCATGCAACCCTCAAAAACAAAGGAAAACATATAGATTGAATCGGAACTGAACTTGATAGAATGCATTGATTTAATCCAAGTTCATTCTTCCTTTCCTTATATTAGGGGTGAGATATTGGTTCTGTTTGGTTAACCGAACGAAAAATTCAGTAACAAAAAAAAACCGAACCAAAACTCTTAACAATTCAGTTTGTGTTCAAAGAACCTAAAACCTAATGGCTTGTGTAATGAGTGTTTGTGTATTGTGGTTGTAACTTTTCAAGTGTTAACAAAAACTGAAATCGTTAAATGCAAAATGGCTTGGACCGAAACCAAACTAGTAAAAGCACATTAGTTTGAACCGGAAAATCAAAATCATACTCAGTTTTAGTTTAATCCGATAAACCAAAACCGAACTGGCATTCCTACTCATATCCGTTCGCGTATTAATTTGTCCGATTCTTGATCAGGTCAGACCATGCCGACCATTAATTGAACATCACTGGTAGGTTCCTTGATGGATATCCTTTTGTTTGTTGAAATCTCAACACCAACAACTAACTCTATCGCCGTAATTGGCTATCCTGAAATCTTGATTCAATAGCTACCCAGCCAGGTTGCCAGTAACTAACCCCACACGATAATTTATCAGTGTACAACAGGTTCTTACTGTGAAGAGAACAATACAAAATAACGTTAGAATTGCTACAAGAAAATGGGTATTTTTTCGGCACCTCACTTTCTGCCTAAGTTGACCCTAATGTGCTACAACATAGCAATGTTAAAAATTAGCGTGACAAAAATATAACATACTAAGCAATAGAGCCCTACCACGGATGCTAGCTGCCTTTCAAAGTGGGGAAACAAATAGCTTCTTCCTGCAAGTGCACTCTTCAAGAGATAGGTTTTGACAATGGCTTCGAACAGGTTTGCTAGAACAAATGAGTGTCCTTTAGAGCTGGGTTGTAGGAGGGAGAACTCATTCACCTCTTTCCACGACCCGGCAAGCCAGACCTGGGGCCAGGATAGCGAGAAAACTGTAGCCTCAAGTAGTTCGACTCTAGGTCATGCTCGTCCATCTTGTATCCTGCACATTCCGGTCCATTACCATTAGTAACCCGACGTGATTTGAAATAAAACAAGTATCAAATGCAATCTCAAGGTGTAGGTCCATTTGTACCTTGCAAAGCACTCATTGCAGTAGCAGCACATGCAGGATCCATAAAATCAACAAAACAAAGAATGATTGGGTCTCCACCACGCTGCAATAGGGGATGTAAACAAAAGCATCAATGACGCTTAAGTTTCCAAGATAGATCACCAAACATCAAGGACAGGGCGATAGAAGTTCTAAAATTGATAAACTCACATGTTTAGATTCCTTGCTGACCAGTCTCAGGTCTTTGTATCCAACAAAAGGGCGAAAGATGTCTAAAGATAGAAGTCAAGGAAATCAAACACATAGTAGTAGTCAAATGAAGCAAGTAGTAGAAGTTTTAGTCTGTTTAAGACAATACAGAAATCAATTCAATGATTATGAAATATTGTTGGTCCTACAATTTGTTGAACTTTTAGGATATATGAAATACTCTAAGTATGGTAGTGTGCACTGGAGCCACAGCATAAAAGAATGAAGAGGGTAAGTGTAACATGTAAGATAATATATGCATTAGAAGGATACGTGCTACTTCTCTTCTTGTACAATCTGGAGGAAGTCCTTCAACGTAGAGAGTGTTTGAGGCATCGGGAGGAAGAGGTACTGTATCACGACCAGGTCGAGGTAATGAACTTGCTCCTCCTGATGGCGGGCCACCATAACCATTGGTTGTCATATCTGGAACTGTTGCTCTAGAACGGTCCATTACAGCAGAATCTACGGTTGGGAGACTTGCCATTCCGACACCTCCACCGAATGCATTCGCTTCTCTAGAAGCAGTAGGAAGACCTTGCTTCAAAAGGAATTAAGATGAGTTTTTTAGTAACGAACCATACATATGTATGGTGGGTAAAGAAGGCAAAGGTAGGAGTGTAGGAGTATCACATTTTGAAGATAGCGCTCATATGCTGATACAATCGTCTTTGTGTCTTTCACAGGCTGATACCCAGTCCCACCATCTCTTGCATTTCCATAGTAACTATTCATATCATAGCCTGCAGGAACTCCAGAATTTTGCATATCTGCTCAAATTGTTAGCAGACTGTCAGATGGGCAAATCATTTTGATAGTTACAGTCATCATGGTTCCATCACTAAGGCAACACGTTTATTCTTTTACAACATTGGAGACGAATAAAAAGAATTGCTAATAAAAATTAGTATAAGGCAAGCACAATTGTTAAAGCAACCATTAGGTGATATACAACATATGAATAGACACATGCACACACAAACACACTCATACTTGAGGTTCAAATTCCCCAGCTTCACTTAATGACAACCACGAAACAGAACCAAAAGATTAAAGAAGGTACAACCCAAATCACATTATGGTCAAGAAGAAAGACAACAGGAAAGACCATAAACATCCTCATTTGGTTCAAAAAAAAAAAAGTGCCAAGTGCACAACTCTGCTGCAAAGATGTCGGAGAAATTGGGAAAACAGTTGGCAAGAAATGAAATTGGAAAAAGCTTTCTTTCCTAGGGACACATACAAATAGATGATGAAACAACTAAACAAGTATGCTATGTTTCCTAGCTCTCGGAGGAAGCAATTGAAGAGAGTTAACTAGCACAAGGGTGCAGCACAGGGTGCACCACCCATGTGCTAATACCAAGCTGGCTAATTAACCACCATAATGTAAATCGGCAAACATCCAGCACAGGGTGCAGCCTAACTAAGAAAGGCCAGCTGCATATACTTTTGAACTTAGCATTTCTTATTGCCACTCTTTATCAATACACGAGAGAATAAAATAAATATTCTGGATGATCATAAAACTCACATTATAAGGATCTCGATCAAGTTCTACCAGAATGGAAGATTAATCTCAAAGGAATTCACGATCACATAAGCAACAAGTACATTTGTCTATGGAAACCAGCTGTACAACAAAGTCAATACCAAGCAGTTCAAGAAAAACTGAAGAGAAAATGTTCCACAGCAACCTATCCTTGTTTATCAAGAGATCGCAGACACATATTCCACCGTACTGCCCATAGGACAAAACTACACACTGAATACTCCAAGAAGAAATGGGGAACAAGAATCCATACCATGACCAGTCACATATTTCAGAAAGTTGGAGATACTTTACCGCAGCATCATATGGAAAACAGCTACAACGCACAAGACATTTCACATACGCAAACCAGGATCAGCATATAGCTCCACTCTTAGTTTAAAACTGAACTAAGAAGCAATTCCCTATGATCCAAAGATCCAAATGCAACAACTGACTATTCGTCTTGATGAAAACAACACCACTCAGGGTTCACTCCACCCATCCTCTTTTTGCTTCAATCTACCGTACCCAACTTCAAAAAACTGGAAATTGGTTTGAACTATTAAGAAGCAGCCTCCGTTCAGAAATTCATTTCTTCCATAACAATACAAACTTCGTCTAATTCAACAGTCACAAAATCATGTCATCTCAAAATACTATTAGAGATCAAGGTTAAACAAAACCCCTGAACTCCGAGCCACAGACAACATCGACGAAATTGAACAAGCAGATTCCCGAAGTTGAGAAGAAACACACAAAGGGCCAGAGTCTCATTAATACGAAGGAGAGAAAATGAGCGACGCACCATACTCAGTGCGAGGCCGCTTAAGCATGCCGCCAGCGGGGAGAAGAGAAGGTTGTTGCTGCTGGTTCCAGTAGCCGTCCGACATTGTTTCCCTTTTAACCTGGTACGAGAAACCAGAAATTCACACTCCAAGGGGGAGCTTCGAAAAGGGAAGAAATTGAGCTTTCCCCGAGAGAGATCAGAGCTGAACCACAAACCCTAACTTCAGAGGTGATGACAATTGGAGGGAGAGACCTTCGGGTAAATGATATGAATGCCAATTTCTGGAAATTGAAGCAAAGCGCTTGATTATCTATTTCCCCTTCCTTTTCTTTTCAGTTTCGTTCATGTTTGTTTTGTTCACTGCGGTGGGCTAACGCCGAACGGCTCTACATTTTCTAGACGGGGTATTAAGGATGAATTGGGCTCAAGCCCAAGGACTATTAGGTAGTTCACAATAAACGTAAAAGGCTGTGAACAAAAATAGCCCTTATCCAACCCACCCATTCAATCCAATCCACACGTATTATAGATAAAATCAAAGTTTAACATTGGGCAGGGTTATCTTTTGCGGAATACGCCTATTTTAGGTTGGGTGGGGGGTTTTGGTTATTAACATGTAGATATCCGACTCAACCTGTGTTAAAACTATTTTATTAAATGTTTATACAAAATATATTTATATTGTAGATTGTGAGAGAATTATGATATTTTTTCAATATTAAACCTATTTAATATAGATATGGTTTACGTTGTTTTCTTTTTTGTATGTATAATTTTGAATAATGGGATATTATGGATGCCTTAGCTTATAATGAACATTGTCTTGATCTTATTTTGGTAAATATTTATGAAAAATAATAAACATGTGTTGAGGCAAATTGCACTTAATAAAGATCCAAACAACGACTTTTATGCATTTGATGTGTTTCGCTTTAGTTTATTTTCTTGAAATTTTAATTCGTTATATAATTCTTTTAGTGTTAGGTTGGGTTTGTACTTAAAAGTATAGCTCAACTGACCAATCCCAGTCATAAAATCAAAATATATAGATCGGATGATTATAATTTAATGACTAAACTCAAACCATCCAATTCATGTATACTCCTATATATTGTTATGGGCAATATAATATTGACCGGGAGTTTGATAATAATAACAATTCAAACTAGTCTTGAATGATATTTTTCATCTCAATCTGTTGTAAGATGCAAAATTTTCAATTTGTGCTAGAATGGAGACAGGGGCGGAGCCAGGATTTGAGTATCGGGGGGGGGGGGGGGGGGGGGGGGGGGCGAATTTTTTTTCCTCGTATCATCGAAGAATCCATAAAAGCACAAAAATAATTACAAATAATAAGAAAATCAAATTATTATTTGAGATAATTAGATTCATTCAAAGTAGGAATTAATGCTAAAATAAAAATTTATCATATTATTTAACTACAAATGAGTTAATTACCAACAAAAATCAATAATACATTTCATATGCAATATGTTTTTAACAATTTTCACAACGGTAAAAGAAATGTTCACTATAAAATTTACTTATTATATAGCAAAAATAATAGTTAAAATTTGGAAATGAAAAGCTAAAGAATTTAATTAATATAGCACAGATTCAAAAAATCAAATATAAAAGTCACAGACTATGCGACTAAGTTTGTATCTAAGTAAAACTGAAAACTAAGAAAATAAACTTGCTCTCGCTGGGTTTCAAACCCGAGCTTGGTCGGCATTATTGCACCACAACTTCCCCTAGACCAACTCTACTTTACGTTTCTATTTTGACAAATGTCATTTATTTATTCAAAACATCCTTAAGTAATACGTAATTAGCAAAGATCATATCGAATTTATGCGTAACTCTCAAAATTCTCGGGGGGGCCGGGGCCCCCTCGAGCCATAAGCTAGCTCCGCCCCTTATGGAGAGGATCGACCCGCATATAGGATAGAATGGACATGAATAGAGTTGATATTCCCTACCCATTCTATCCCCACTTATGAATCTTGCCCAAAAAAGAATTTCGTTGTTTTAGTCCAAGTGGTTAGCTTTTCAATTGAATGGTTATTAGTTTCTTAATAGTTTTATGATTTTATTTAAACATGACCAAAGAGATGATGTTAGCATACGTAGGGATAATAGAGCTAATAGTTTATAAATCAGAAAAACAAAATCTACAAGTATATAGATAGCTAATAGTTTATAAATCAGAAAAACAAAATCTACAAGTATATAGATAGTTGAATATTTTTTCTGCACCCCATTCAAATTTTTCTGCAACCAGAGTGAAAGTAGAAATGATATTTTTGTCTTCACAATGATCTATTTGTTTCTCATTTATTTCTTAAAAAATACACATACTAGAATTTGAACCGTGGTCATTTTCAGCTATGATAAGAATCTTAACCAATCATACTACATAGATTAGTTGTATCATTTTAAATAAAAAACATACATGAAGCTAAAATTAAAAAATCACAGAACTTTTCAACGGTTAGTTGAGGTCGCTAAATCTTCGCTCAATACTTATTGGTGTTTTGATACTTCGATTTTCATATTTAATTATTCTAATTAAACTTTAATACTTAATTTAAATTTTTATTTATCTTATAAATAGACGATAACTTTAAAATCATAGACCAAATATCATTGGTTCAATATTACATATCGAATTGCAATATCGAATGTGTAGAAGCGATGTTGAACTCCTACATTAGTATTAGTTTATAGAACTACTATGAGGCAATCATATTCATATCTTTCTGCAAACTATATGGGGACGGGTTCTTTGAACGTTTTTAGCTCGGTTAACTGTTAAGTTTTAAACATCTTCCTAATCTGACAATATGATAGATCCAACAATCATTAGAAGATGTTGAGTTTAATAGATTGGTTTATTTCATCTTTTTATTTATTAAAATGAATTTGTAGAGCAAGGACATATCTACATATACACTCTACATAATATATACTATTGGCACGATAAAATTGTCGTCTCATTTCAAATTTCCTACAACGAGAGCAAAAGTATGAATGACATTTTTGTCTTGGCCATTATTTATCTTTATTTTGTATGAAAAATATACAAGTATTGGGATTTGAACTAATGTATCTTCAAACACAGACAAAAGTCATAATCATGATTTTCAATTCGAGTATGACTTTGTTGGTTGAACCAATTCTATCTAAACCTGAGTATCTCAGCGGGTGTCGAATGCCCAATTGGTTGTCTACTTAGGTTGGGTCAAAGTCGAGTTTTTCTATCTTAGTGGGAAATCCAACCGATTTAACCAACTAATTCGAGCACCAGCCACTTCAAAATGATGTTGTTTTCAACAATTCGTATATGTAGCTACATCGTCATATGACTCATATCATCCTTTTACTTATCACATAATCTACAACATGAAACATCACAGACCATGTTCAACTATCCCATCGTCTCTTCTTCTTACTTAAGATTTGAGAGCCTATAATACACGACCCAACCATCTCAAAAGCTATCATAATCCCGCAATAGCAAATTTCATTTTTCTCTAGCTGCACAGTCATAGAGCCAGTCGACCTCATCTCATACAAATACAAAGCAAAAATTATTAAGAAACATGCATTTTAGTTGAAACTTTAGGTGACTAACAAAGGCCAAATTCCTTATTTTAATTATTATTTAATACTTAATTAAATTCCTATATATCTTATAAATAGAGGATAACTTTAAAATCACGGCCCAAATATCATTGGTTTGAATATTCCATATCAAATTGCAGTGTTGAATATGTAAAAGTGATGTATAATTCTTAAATTAGTATTAATTTTTAGACCTACTATTACACAATCGTATTCATATCTTTGTGTAAACTATATGAGACTGGTTCTTTGAACATTTTAGTTATGCTAACAGTCAAATTTTTAACCTTTTCCTATTCTGACATGATTGGATCCAACAATCATCAGGAGTTTAATAAGTTGGTTCATTTCACCTTTTTTCAATGTTCTAATGAATTTGTAGGGAAAAGACATGTCTTTATATACACTCTACACAATATATAATACTAAAATGAGAAAATTGTTGTCTCATTTCAAATTTCCTACAATGAAAACGAAAGTAGGAATTATATTTTTGCTTCATAATTATTTTATAAAAACTACAAACTTCCAAAATTCTGAAATTGTTGCTCAAACTAAAACCAGAGCATCGAAAATCAATGTTCCCAAATTTTATTTCATATATCACTTTTTGAGAGATTTTTCTCTATATAAACAAAGTTAAATGAAACAAGTTATAGCCAAACCAACAACTTTGGCTCGAAGACGATCACCTGCTTATTCGTGGGAGAAAGAAATACATGCGGTACTGTCAAAGATCTGGAGAGAAAAGACGAAAAAGATACACTACGAGTTTGTGAATGAGTATTGTGAAATAGATCATCAAATCGGGCTTGGGGCTGAATAAAATGATAGGAGGTTAGTTAGATAGCAGATGATATAGAATTTGCCAATTTGGTACATCTACAGGAGATCTCCAGAGTCAGTTTAGGAAACAAAGAATCGAAGAGCAAAAAAAAGATATAGACTCTTTTATTAACAACTAATTGAGTGCATGAGGGTGGATAAACGATGCATTCCTTTCTCTTTTCCTTTAAAAAAAAACAAAATAGTATCGTCAACTTTTTAGGTTTCTATTCACCTATTGAAGTTTGTTCTTTTTTTTTTGCCTAATCAGATTATTTAAAGCTATTATTCTACTAAAATGATTATATTTTTTTCCACTACATTGATGTAATATTTTGACCAAAACATATTAGTAAGTTAAATGATATATTAATTAAAATAATATAATATTCACGCTCTTTCGGCGCACTCAAATTATAATTCTTGAAGAGTATACACTCTTACGCTCCCATTCTAGCTCCTGCTCTAGCTCCCGCTCCGCGAATTGGTAAGATAAATCCGTCAAGTCAATTCTGGTAATAAAGAGACTACTGGAAGAACTCGCCTTCCATCACATATTGTCTTCCTTCGCAAACACCCACATGCTCAATTTCCACTTGGTCGTTACTCATTAATTCCACTTCTGACACACATCGCCACCATAGGAGTGTGACCTTCATCGCGTGACAAATACATGTTGTTGGAGTGCATTTTAGGAGCTCGAAGGAGGATAGCAAAAAATAGCAGATAGAGAAACAAATATAGATAGTCCTGTCGAGAAAGAATATTATTCATATGTAGATGAGATTTTATATAATTTATAAATATATTAACAATATAATAATTTTTTCATATATCCGGGCAAAAGCGGACTAAAACAATTAGACCATTAACCCTCAACCCACTTAATCAACTGGGCCAACGGGCTAAACCAGGTTGACAACCTTTGATACTTGAAATTCATATATTCTAAAAATTTTGGTTTTCAATTTTCATGATTGAGTCAAATCGATCAATAATTGTGGACTTTTCAGAAAGTGGTTGAAATTCAAAAGTCGGTCTTCAAGGTTCTTTCGTGACAGACAAGTTTTTGCGTTTAATTATTTTTAGGTCGAAGGAAGAGAAAGCGGGACAGATGGATGATGAGATTGTGAAATTATGACTATTAATTATTGGGAGTTGTAGATGAAGAAGATAAGCCATACAAGGGATTAAATTTAATTTGATAATACGTATATACTATATATTACAAGGGCATGTTTGATGTGAAAAATAAAAGGGATAGATTTGAGAAAAATGGATAATAGAGT